AGTAGTAGTAGTAGTAGTAGTAGTAGCAGTAGTAGTAGTAGTAGTAGTAGGAGTAGGAGTACGAGTAGGAGTAGGAGTAAGAGTAGGAGTAGGAGTAGCAGTCGTAGTAGCAGTAGTAGCAATATAATGATAATAGCAATAATAATAGTCATAATGGTAAGAACAACCAGATTAGTAGTGATATGTAGTGAGAGTAAGACCAACAAAGTCATGATGGTAGTACGAGTATGAAGAACAAGTAAGAGTAATAAGCGCAACAATAGATGGAGCAGGAAGCCTGCAGCACTGGAGCGTAAGTTGTTTCCTGAGGCTGCTCCATTTGTTTGATCTTGGTTGAACTTTTTCGTCTTCATTAGAATTTTGGAGTTGCATTCCATCAGGACGACCACGACCACCAGAAAAGACACGAGGACACCACCAGAAGGACACGAGGAGACCATGGCGGAATTTATGACCACGGCCAAAATGCAGGGCCTCATGTACTGTCGGGATTCAATAATGTCGAGTGCAAGATGAGGCCTAACGGGCCTAGCGTTTCGGAATCTGCAAAGCTTGGTGATGCAACTGTACGGGGTGTTTGCTGTCAGGTTATGTTGTAGGTTTGTGGATTTGGCCTACGCTGACCACAGCAGCTGGCTTGGGCAAGGTTGCCCGGCATCGTCCAATTCAAAAGGACGCATTCCAAAAGCTGTGGATGAAGCTTGAAGCCCTTGACAAAGCTTTTTGATGTGCGAGTTTTGATTGAGAACACTCATGTCAGAAAGCTCAGCTCGCAACCAGCAGGATCACACTTGTGACTGTGTCTCTCCTTTTGCACATGTACAGATGCAAAGGTCCTCTCGACCCAGTGCGAAGCCGTCCACCGCGCCTTCCCTGCAAGAGATGCAGCTGGTGCTCGGCTCCTCAGAGAAGTCCACAGAAAACGAGATGCTCCGATTGCCATGCCAACAGACTTCGCCAGATGAGACTAATCCAGCTAGGATTCGGCAAGCTGTTTCGCTGCATGCCGAGAGCAGTGTGCACCTGCTGAGAGCAATCGGCCCACTCAAGGCCGACAAGCCGCTCGAACTTCCCAAAAAGGAACCTAAGGTGCATGCATAACGCATGCTGCTGCCAGTGCTGCGGCCAGCCTCCTGCAGGCCGAGTCAAAGCGGAACTGAACTGGCATGCGGCAGAGCCCCGCCAGCGTGGGTCATGCTCTCGGCAGGGCTCTTAACCACGAAAAAGACAGAACGAGGAGCTAGAGCTAAGCCAGTCCTGTGTGGGACAGGTGTCGAAAGTCGAGGAGGAACGGAAACACTGATGTTCCTCAGAAGCCCCTGCACAGCACAAGTCGAACACTTCATGCACTCGCGGCACGTCGCAGAGCAGACCACTGTGCACTTGGATGGTCGCATGCCGCCTCTGTGGTCTACGCAGTCGGCTCCCCTTCCAAAGCATTCCAAGAATCCGAACCTCAGATGCCGCCGTCACTCTGCGTGTCTGAATCTTCAGCTTTTCAGCCGGGCATGACTGGGCTCCGGAACCCAGAGCTCGGACGCTGTGCAGCTCCCCGGCACGACTCGCCCTGCACCAGCGGAGAGCAGCACAGACCAGCAGAGCACGGATGGTTCTCAGACTTGCCGTGACGCCCCTGGGCCGCCTGTCGCACCGCTCCAGGGCGTCCTCGGGAGGACGAAGCCTGACTTCTGCCACTCACCTGACACATTCGCTGCAACAGCACCTCACTCCGTGAAGATGTAAGCACAAGGGCAGCGCTTCTGCTCCGTCTGCATCCTGAGCACTGGTCACATGGCTGAAGGAGCATGCCTAGACATGCAGACGTCGCCAGCAATGCTCTTGCAGTCGCATCCGGTCCTTTGCAGCCTCCGGGTGTGTCATGAAGCCTGCACGATAACGATAAGATCTAGAGAATCATAGACAGTCCTACCTGCACCGCCGCAGCAGGCATAGGAAGCAGGCCTGGACGACGATCCAAACCAGTCCGAATGTATCCATCATCCTGCCCAACGATCCACAAACATCTGCAGACCGGCCCCTCACCGTTACGTGCTCTTTGGACACTGCTTTCACCACGAGCTAAAACCACCAACCTGGACAATGCGGCTAGCTTGGTCGGAAGGGCAGCCTGCCTTGGGCCTCTCCACACCAATCGGGTTTGCATTTGCCCGGGTCCTTATCAAGAATCGGAAGATGCTAGGCATCGAGAACAGCAGGAAGATCGACACCTACTTCCCTGTAAACCACTAAGACGCACCAACTTGAAAGACCAGGCTTCGGCAAGCTATTTCGCTCGCGGACGCCGCGTGCAGAGTGCACCTTTGGACGGACATCTGTCAGATGCGAAGTCTCGACACTATAGAAGCCGCATTCAGGGATCTGATATGTGTTTGTGCAGATTGTATAATAGACATATATATATATATATATATATATAATATGTATTTAGATATAGATATAGATATCTCTCTGTCTTCATACACCTTCATGTGTCTATTCAGTCTTCTGCTGGAGGAAGCTCTCGTCCAACAAGGAGCAAACGCTGGGGTCGCGGCGGAACGTAAAGTGTTTTTTCGCCCATTATCCTGTGGAGTCTAAGTCCACACGCTGTAGAGTCGGCTGAAAGATGCGACAATGTGCGACATGATGGATGACTCTACATGACTTACATCAAGGCTTCACAGGCGGTCCTGCGATGCTCGGTTGTCGAACATGGATGCAGTGCCCTTTTCTGGGCTGTGGCGCTTGTCGAAACTTCCTGCCGGCGACTCAAGAACCGAAGTAAAACAAAACAACCCATGCAAGACATGTCTGTTTGCATTGTGAAAACTTGTCCGAGCATCAGGGCTCAACTACCGCGTCCTCGCCATACACCGGTGCTTACATGTGCAGTATGCACTCAGGCATGTTTGTATATGTAATGTACTTACATAGTAGAGTGAGAAGACACCACTTACGATGTGTGTTTAAACGCATGCCGCGTTGAAGGACAGGATCCGTGCTACTGTGCTGCTAGCCATAGCAATACCAACGTCTGACTGAGTTGGTACTACCAGTAGTACCCGTTCTCGGCAAAAGCAATCGACACTCCGTGCCGACATGACACTGTACATCTACAACAGCCTCCAGGATCGACTCCTCGCCCGGAGCCACCGAAGCCGTTAAACTGGCCAAACCTAGTGACACATGACACCGTACCATTCACTTCTTCTCAGCGGAAAGACGCAGATACCAATCGCAACACAAGAGGTCCACGAGCATGGCAAGAAGGCATTCCCATAAAAATTCACGCGCTCGGGCACCGGCTCAGGGCTCAGGCCGTGGTTGTGAGGTCGGTCCCAGGTGCACTCCTTCGGCAAACCGCAGGAGCCGCAGCCGGACTATGCACAAGTTGCGACACTCTGCCCCCGTTCTGCCTGCCGCGGTGCATTGACAGCTGCCACAGGCGGGCCACGCCCACGTGACGCAGCTGAATTCAAGGAGGTAGGAGCCTGAGCACTGAGAAAGAACTTGCTATGTGCTTTTGCTGAAGCAGCCGAGGCTACGGCTGTGGGAACGGCCGCTGCAGCCTCGCGGAAGATGACCATCAAGCACACTGAGAATGATGCCATCAGGCAACTGAGCTCTTACTGAGGACTCGACCACTTCTACGCCCTGGCCGTCCTGAGGAAACGGGCACTCTGAAGAAGTGGCCTACGACACGCAGAGCAACAGCCTCTAAATCGAGAAGGTCTGCAAGTTTCACAGACATCAAGACCTGCACGACATCAAGTAGACCGCAGCACAGCACTCTGCGCATCTTAGAATGCTCAGGCCTCCCCAGCTGCAGTCCCCCGGCTCATGTGAAGCACTGCAACCTCCGAGCTGGACCACGTGCACAACAGGGTTGCTGCCACCATGGCACGCAGAGATGCCAAATCTCGGACACGCAGGCCTGGCTGCGGCTTGTGACGCCTTTGCGGAGAATCACTTCTCCGAGGTTCTTGGCCTTCAGGGTCAAACCAATATCCGGTGCCGAAACCACGCAAGCTACGTACAGGGCCGGGAAGCAAACCGTGGCTGCAGAAGCACTCCCCAAGTCGAGCCATCGGGACAATACCGGAACGTGCGTGCGCATGCACGCTGCACATGCGCTGACATGCTGAAACGTTGCAGAAACCGTGGCCCAGGCATGGAAGGACTCGGCATCTGTCGGGTTAATTTTCACGAGCAGCTTCGGGATGCCAGGCTCGAGTCGGACCTGTCCGATATGGAATTTCCTCCCAACACAGCTCTTCACGAATCGGCCACACGCCCCGGATGTTTCCCAAGCTGTTCGCGTGGAAGGCAGTATGAAAAACATGCACGCCCGGTGAAACCTTACGTTCATGTCTGAGCTCCACACTCGCAAGACAGAACTGCTGTGGACCTCAGGCTCCCCTACGCGTCATCCCCAGGTGGAACTCGGCGACCGCCCAAGATATCCGGCTGTGGTCCTAAGCAAGCCTGGTACTCTTGGTTGTGGGCCATGTGGTTTGGGCAGCTCCCTGTGAGAAACCTGCCAAAAGCCGTGTTTAACAACAAACTGGCCGCGGCATTTCCAGCACATGATGTTGCAGCAACAACGAAGGATCAGCACGCTGCGGCCTCAGCAACTGGCCCACTCAACTCCACCCATGTAGCCGCCATTGTCTCGAGCCGCGGCAGGGAACGAGCGGTATCGGGCAGTTGGCTACGGTGACCATGGCACGACATGACAAGGGAAACTCGCGACTCGCAAAGTCATAGCCAAAGGCCTGTTTTCTTTCGCAAAGGTGAACAATCTCTCGAGGCAGCAAGGCGGCTGCGGTGTAGGCATCAAGGTCTTGGAGGGCTTGAAGTGCCAATAGATGGAACTAAAGTTGAATATCAGTTGGGGAGTATGCCGTGGTTCTAGACCTGGTGTGTGTGTGTGTCAATGTGCCGCAAGCCTCAAAAGCTTCGCTGCTGGCATATCCCTGAAGCGTCCTCATGCCATTGAATCACCTGTCGCAGCAGGCACTCTGATTGCTCCGACCTATCTTGGTTGTTGGAACAGATCCTCGACGATCGACGTTGATAGTCGCCGCAATCAGAGAGTGCCACTTGTAGCCGGAGGCGTCGGATTTCGACATCCTGGCAGTCCGTGTGCATGTTTGTCTAGCACATACGTGCCATGAGACTAACTGACGAAGACGCATGCAATAAATGACCCGCCTGTTCACGAAGCAGTGCCAGCGCCTCGCCAAGTGGAACCCAGATTTCAACCGCATTACGGCTGCGTCTAGAGTGTTCCTAAGCGGATCCAGGGCTCCTCGAGTTTGCATACCAAGTATAATATCTTGAAACCACCCGTACGGTCAGGCCTCGGCAATGATGGCCTCTCTTTCCTTGGGGCTGCGCGTGGGGACTTCCGGAACAGAACAAACAGACATACATGCAATAAAAATGCAAGCGAAGTGTCGGCAATGAACTCTTCGTACGTGGTTGGTAACTTGACAGGGGAGGCAGGTCTAGGCAAGGCACAGGCTCAACAGTTCTGGAAGTGAGGTTTCTCACCGACGTGTTGCAGCAGCCACCGCGAAAACTTGCGGATGGATCCATTCTCAGGTCGCGCTCGCTGGAGTTTAGGGCTGGGTAATATGATGATGGTTCGATCGCCTGCGAATGCCTGATCGCGATATATCCGTCTGCTTTGGTTTGCATGCGGGCGATCGGACGGATGAGTTGATGATTTTCGGATCTATCCATCGATCAACTACCGTGCCGCCTACCCCATGTTGCAGTCACGAGAAGACGTGTGACCGCTGTGCTACTCGTGTTCCAACGTCAACGATTGGAGTAAACTGGTTCCTCAATCAACGGCTAGATAGGTGCGGATTTTGGAATCAATTAAGCCGTTCGGTGGAGCAGCTTGCTCCGATGTGATCCCCGTCGCAATCGCGGCGTGGCTCAGAGACTCGGGGTCCGGACCCGGTCAGACCCACATCATAAGAAAGCGTATAAACCGTAAAAACGATATAAGCCATGATAAAGCTTTTACGGTTTATGCCATTCATACGGTTTTATACTGCTGTATACTCTTTTGGGATCTTGGGCCTAGACTAGCGTTCTAGGCTAGGTTCTATGGCCAAAAACACTGTGAAAGACCGTATCACACCGTATAAAAGTGTAGAAACAAGGCCCCACAAGCAATCCACACTCTGGTCCTACTTCTTACTTCCTTCCCCCTACTCCCCCCCGCCTTCGTCGGTCCCACCTTCCGCGTCTTCTTCAACAACTGGCCCATGGTAATGTGGTTGAAAATGTACGTGCCCGACGGCGTCGGGATCTCTTGCACCCACGGCCAGCAGCCAGTCATCTGGCAAGCCAGCTTCAGCGCGGGTTTAACAGCAGTCATAGAGGATTCGATGGTTAGCCCACAATAGAAACTATGACAATGGTGCAGTGGCGTAGTGATCAACTGCCCCGCAGTAAGTCTCGCACGCTGTCGGGGGGAAGGTCCCAACTCAATGTCTGCATCTTGTCGATCAGATTTTGCCTCATGAGCATGGCATAGGTTGAGATCACACTGCAGGACATTACCAACAGCTTCGCAAACTTTTGAGCAAGCCGAGGATCCAGTGGCCCTGAGATGTTAGATGATGCTTGGCACCACTCGTCATGACCTTGTTGCCGCAGACGGTGCACACGCAGTCATAGCTGTGTGGCACCTGTCACTCTTTTCAAATCTTGCAAAGAGGAGTTGACTGCGGTCTCATGAACCCGCTTGCTGCAGCATCAGGCTTGTTTGGCTACCCATCCGCCGCCATGACATCAGAGATTAGCTTTCGTGAGTGCGGATCTGCGACAAGCATAGCACTGGTATCTGAAAAAACAAGGATCGATGTCTGGTGCACCTGCTCTTCCAGCACTGTGGCTGCTGGCTCCTCGCGTGTGAAAAGCTTGAGGGAAATCGGTTACTGTAGAGTCATGCAGAGTCAGTACCTTTCAAGCCTCGCGCCAAGGCCACGTGCAGCCGGGTCTCCATGAACTTGAGCCATGTCTCAAGGCTCTCACTCAAAACCTGTCGCCAAGTCGTATAGTGGGGCACGATCCTTCAGAGCGAGACTCCGGTCGTGATGTGGGTTCACAAAATTGAAAATCAGATGACGAACTTCGATGCTAGGCCCCACGAGGTCTGCCGAGGCACATGATGGCAGCAGCATCTGCACTTGAAGACTGCGAAGAAGCAGAAGAAGAAGAAGCACCATTTGCCGCGCCATTGCATCCACTGGTGTATCCTGCAGGCTCTGCCCCGGCAATCTCCAGGCCACCCGTGAGATGGTTCAGAAGGCACCTGGTCTTAGCATCTTGTTGTTTATCACTTTCACGCTCTGAAGAAACACGGTCAAAAAATTGGAACATGGGCACTTCCCTTGAGGGATCGAAAATTCCTGCCACCAGGACTTTCCCTTCTCCAAGGCCAGTCTTGGTTGGGGCATGTTCTTGCCCACCTTCTTGCATAGCTCGGTCCTGGAATGCCCCGACTGTGGCACAGAATATGAACTCTTCGACCCTTTGCAGAATCCACCTCAGCATGTGCCTGAAATCATGTGCTTTCCAAGCTTCCAGTGGCTCTTGGACTTTAAATGATCGTCAGCACCACGGGTCATTGTCTTCTGGCAGACGACGCACTTGTGACCGTACCTACCCGTCTCAGTCTTGTCCAGCTCCGCATCCAGCGCGGATCCCGTCTTGTCCTGCGCAACAGCACAGCTGGGAGCGGGCTTTGGCATCAGGTTCACAAAAACGTGAGCTGGGAACCGAGTGCCGCAGCGCTGTCCATGTGCATTCTCCACAGTTCCAACGCCTGAATGCTCTTGATGTAGCCTCAGCAACAGATGACAGAGTCCGATGAACAGCAGCAGGTGAGCTGAACGCACGGGTGGAAGGCCTTGGCCGTGCGGCACCAGGAGGCAGGCGGCTGCTGGCCTGTCCCCCAGCGTAGGCGTAGGAAGCTCCTGCACATGACTATGGTGGAAAACCAGGGAGGCTTGGGTCTAACAGTACGATGGAGCACTGGTGCTTTGGTTGTTTCGGGCGCCGCACCCGATCTACTCTGTTTTTAGGCTGTGTCGGCTTGGGGAGCTGGATAGCTTTTCCATATTGTTGTCTCGTTTCTTCCTTCGCTCTTCTTTCCTCTCTCAGGTGGCCTTGGTTTAGGATTGAGGGTTCAGGGCTGAGGGTTTAAGGCTTAAAGACAGAGGTTGTACGGCTGGGGGTTTGGTGGTGCGGGGGCGAGAGTATGAAGCATGATGCTGATGCTGATGCTAACTGTAACGAGGACGCTGATGCAGATGGTGATGGGGGAGACATGAAGCTGTTGTGCCGGTAGCTATAGTGATTACGAGGAGGTGGCGATCATGCTACAGTGATAGTAATAATGTGTTTGCTGTCGCCACAATCACAGCGCCAGAAATCATCATGTGGCACCGAAACAGCCACGACACAGAAAGGAACGCTGTGAAGGCCCTGTGCAACAACAACTTCGTTACGTTCAGCTCCGGGAACAATACTTGCTGCAAATGTCCTAAATCTGAAACCGCCCCGAGGGCCGAACCCAACCTCTGCGGGCACTGAGCTTCTGGCCCGTCGGCTAGTGATGGACATCGCCTCGGTGCTCCGACATTGTCGACACCACCCCAAGTGACTGAAAAATCCATTCTACTGCGGTGCGGTAGCTTCTGATTCTCTCCAAAGCATTGTGCTGCTTGTGAGACGGACATCAGCAAAGGAGAAGGCTGTGCAGGTTCTGCTTTACGCCTTCGAAATCCGTGTCGTGCTTTAAGGCCCGCAGTTTCTGCGCTGCATCTGCGTAAGTTCGAGCCGGATCGTCATCAGCACGCCAAAGGAGCTTCAGCTCGTCAATCACGCTCTTCCGGCTCGTAGACCAGTCAACAAAAGCTTCAAAGGTTGTTCGAAAACGATGTAGGAGTTCGACCAACAAGCACACCCACTCTTGGCGCTGAGGCTTCGTCAGTACTCGTAGGAGCCCTTCGAGATGTTGCATGCACAGCCACATGCGAGGCCATGCCCGCTGAATCTCTCCACCGGCTGACATGATGTCTCTCATCTGACTGAGCATTGTTTTTGCAATCAACTCTTTCACGAAGCTGAGGCCGCCATAGGCATGGTTCACAACTACAGCATGTGCCCCTTCACGGACCGAGACATCTGGGTCCAGGCAGTGACTGAATGAGTGACGAAGGTTTTCGAGCACGATGTCACGGACACGACTTTCGGCAAAGTGGGTTCTCTCAGCTCGTGCCAGAATGATACACCACTCCTGGCCTGAGATGCAGAACAAGTGACAGCAAACTATGGGCAGAAAGATCTCCTGCGGAAGCTTGAAGCATCTCATAACAGATCAAGAGGCATTCGAAGCGCTTCCGGTAGGCGACATCATCGCCGAAGATCTCGGAGTGTGTCCGGGTCCAAGAACCCTCGAGTCGCTCCAGAGCATCACCATAGGCGACGATGGACGCGGACCTACGCTCTTCTGGATTTGTCTGTCACTCCCTCGAATGCAACCGTAGTGCAAACACAGGAATGAAACAGTCTTGGATCTCAGGATCGGGCGTGTCAAACCTGCCAAGTTCGGCCACATGCTGCAGCAAGACCTCGGATTGCAACTGGACAGACCGCTTCAACCAAACTTCGCGCACCGTGTGCTCCGGCACGTTCCCGTCGTGACTGTAGCTCCTAGCCGCTAGCCTCTTATGTGAATGCCCTGTTCGGCTTGCCAAAGCACGAATTGCACACGGAAAGCCTGGCCTCAGGAGTCCGAGTCTGCCGGGATGTCACGCGCCAGTCAAGCATGTCTTGCACCTCCGGCAAAGCACATGCATCCCCGGTGTCGCGAGTCCCCCGCGTCAAGTTGCTCGACCCCGCACTGGCATTCGAGACAAGTCACGGAGAGATGATGCAACAAAACAGGCCTCGACACTTGCTGATCAGCTGGACAGTGCCACTGACGCAGAACCATGGGTTTCAGGGCTTGTCGGCGGCCAAGCAGCAAAGCTTCGAAGGACGGATGAAAAGGATCGACGGCTGCCTCGCGCATGCTGAGCTGCTCAAGAATCTACGATGCTCAGGTGGGCAGATTGGAGAGATCAGACATGAGTATGCCACAAGTGGAGGCTGAGCATGCACCTTCGCAGCGCTGGAATCCGTCTCGTCTGCAGCAATCGAGCCCCTTGAGGCTCCGCTTTCCCGCTTCTTGTGAGGCCTCTTCGGACCGAGTTGCAGCAAAACTTGCCATGCAAACCCTCCGTGCAGCCGAAGAGGCATTTCCAGCAGACTCGACGTCCCCTCGTGAGCTTCGCCAATGTCTGCCCGGAGCGCTCCAGGCAATTCTTCCTTTCCATGACAGACATCAATTTGGCTATGTCACTTTCACATGCTCGTCTTCCCCAGGCCTTGATGCTTGACTGCTCATCATCTGTTATCTCGGTCTCGGAAACGCATGCCTCAGACAGAGAAGCTCTGTGAACGCACGAACTCCTATCGACGGAGAATCCGCGGCAGATGCGGGCGGCACACCTCGCGAGCAGAACCGTGGTCAGGGCCAGAGACTGGAAGCTCCTGCTGGTGAGCCGCTCGCGTACCGAAAAATTGCCGTCGGTGCGACACTTTGCTTGCGTCCTGCGGAGAGCCGTCGCCGTCGCTGTCGCAAGTGCTCTCAGTAGGCGAAGACGCACCGCTGCCCACCCCTTCACTGTTGTGCCTGGGCATACAGAAGGATCCCCCCGTTTTTTTGTGCGTGGTGGGCGTGAAGCTGCCACGGCAAACTCGTGCACGGGATCGTCTAGAAACACTTCTACATCTTGACTGGCTGTTGTCCACCTTAGGACCACAAAGCCAACGAAGCAATGTGCCGGGATGACCGGAATTGCTGCCACAGCAGCGCTTCGCTCTCACGGCTGCCAGGTGCTGTCACACGGAGGTCGAGCACCTCCTCCGACCTCACCAGTCTCGTGCCAGCCACGACACATCTGAACTGAGCTCGCTGCAAGCAAATGTAGACGAATCTCGCAGGTGAAATCACAGCTGCTATGTGGCCACAACAATCGAGACACACTTCCTGCCCATTCCTGCCCTGTTTGTGACAGCTCCAGATTCTCAATCTGATCTGGCGGCAACATTTGCGACACAATTCGCCAGTCTGCGCTCATAGACACATCGGCACCTACTCCAGTGGACCCCACCCTCCCTCAGCATCATCCCCGGCTCCAGAGCGAAACATCAGCCGAGTAGCTGATCGAGGCACTTCACTGAAGCGCTCGTCGTGTCGCTCTCGATCTCCACCTCTACCAATGGCCTTGGTCCAGTATCATCACCACAAAAAAGCGAGGAGCAAAGATTGGACATGTGCTTGTGGGAAACACGTTAAAGGCGAGGCGCACGTTCTCCATTATGCTTGTCTGTGACTGATGTAGACAGTAGAAAGCCACAAGTTCGAGCATCCAAACACTGCTAGCATGTCATTTTGGCGGATGTAGGAGTTGTGACAATTGCTCATCAGCTGGACTGACCATGGCTTCAAAAGAAAACAGGCTTCGCAGCAGTTGCCCTCGCTCCGGGCTGGTTGTCGGCCCAGTCACAAAGCTTCGCAGGGCGTGTGGCAAAGACCGATGGCTGCCTCGGGCGCGGGCAAGCGCGGATGCTCAAGCATCTACAAAGGGGCGACACACTGCACGCCGGGCAGACGAGTGGAGCCTGCTCCCTCTCGGCAACAGACTCCAGCTCATAGCGTTCGCCATCGCACTTCTTGTCAAGCCTCTTCACACTGTCACAGTTGTTGCAAAAACTTGCCATGCAACTCCGTTTGGGCCGAAGAGGCCTCTCCACTGCATGTGACGTTCCCTCGTGAGCTTCGCCAATGTCTGCCCGGAGCGCTCCAGGCAATTCTTCCTTCCAATGGGAGAAAGATCAACATCGCGGCTTTCCGCAGGCATTTTCCCGATGCCTTGTTGTTGGGTTTCGTGATCTCGGAATCGCATGCCTCAAAGAAGTTCTGCAAACGTGCCCACTCCATCTACGGGCTAGTGTAAGCGGCACACCTCGCCAGGAGAACTGTTTTGAGGAGAAGCATCAGGAAACTCCTGCGGTGTGAGCTGCTGAGGTGCTGAACAAAATAGAACTGAGGTCCTATCTTATTATTCCATGCTAATGTATTCAAGGCAATCGCTTGCTTGAAACACTCTAATTTCCTCAAGGTAAATGTCCTAAATACCGCACCACACAATGAAGGATTGTCGACGGTGTGACTCCGTGCTTGCGTCCTCTGGAGGGCCGTCGCTGGCGGTGGCGCAAGTCGACACAGAACTCAGAGATGCATCACTTCCCTGTTTTTGTCTCCGCCTGGGCACGCGAAAAAAGCCCATTTGTTGCGTGTCGTGTGCCTGAAGCTGCTGTTGAAGGCACTTTTTGGCGATCTCGTGGTTGGGATCGTCTTGTCGAAACTTCCTGAGCTCCCCATAAGTGCCATGTCTGCTCAGTCTTCGATGTCCCCTCCCAGCACTTGAGACCATTATGCCAGCAAGGCATAGTGACATAGTGCCTGAATGACAGAAATTGCTGCCACAGCGGCGGGCTGCCAGGCGGTGTCCTAAGGAGCACGTGCTCCTTTGACCTCACAGGTAAGGGCGTGCAGGCATCGTGTCCCCATCTTCACTCCCAAAATCCAAGTAAAATTTCTGGGCCTATCCTGGACAGATCCGGATTCTGAACCTGATCTGGCGGCCACTCCTTTGAGTTTCTGCGCTCATTGCCACAGAGGCACTCTCGAAGGATGTGAGAATGTCAAAACCAGCCGATGGAGGCTTGACATAATTGACATCCACACACGCTGCGCATACTCTGTCTGTGCTTGGCTGTTCCATACACATTGTAGATCGAAAACATGTCAACTGTGCATGGATGCGAGCAGACGGTGTGCGTCCCACGCATGTGCTCCCCATGTGTTGGCTCGGCTCCTATGCATCTTCCTCACACCCACCGACAAGAGCGCGCAAAGAGAGGCACAACAGGTTGCGGTCCAAAACTTCAGATGGAAGGCCGGGGAAGATCAGGGAAAACTTGCAAAGTCTTGGGCTTGTGTCGCCGTGTTGCAGACAGTCACCACACACACAGAACAGCAGCACACCATCCGTCGCCTGGTTCTACTGGTGTGGCAGCTTTCCGGATGAACAGCGGGATTTGTCTAAGTCATCAATAGACGCTACAGTACATTCACTACATCTTGGAGGCAGATATACCTGTAAGTCCGGAAAAGCTTGACACATCTTGCTGTCAAGTTGCTTCATGTCGGGGCAATGCTTGGCCTGAAAAGCCTGCTCCTCCAGGTTGCGTAACCTTAAGGAACGATGGCTGCATGCTGATGCGAGAGCCAATGAAACACTAACGAACGAAGCATCAAGGCCGGCCTTACTCCTCCCACACGATTACTCGAGCCCGCCGAGCCTACAACGTGTCGAAACATGCTTTCAAACGCGACCTGTTTGTCAACCTGCTTGGCAAATGCTGAAGAAGAACTTTGCGTCGGCAGCACAACAATCTAAAAAGCTCCAACCAACCGCATTTGAGAAGCTTTTTACTCAGCTTCTCGTTGTCACGGCGAAGCTTGCGGCACCTGAGCTTTGACTGATCATCTTGCGAATTGCATCTGATTAAAGCGGTGAGCATCAAAAGTTAATTAGGCATCAAAAAGCTTAAATCCAAGGATCAATAACAATTCAAAATGAAAATCAAAATAGTTAAGTTATAGCAAATGCAGCAACTCCTAGGACGATTTGCCTCGGCCAATTCTAGGGTTTAGGGTTTCGGGGTGTCCTACCTCGCCACGCTTTATGTCTATTCTCATTCCCACGTACATGCACTTGCTGATTTGCGTGGCTGGTCGCAGGAAGGAGCATCGGAGAGAGAGATTTGTGCCCGTTAGTGTAAATGTCCTGCCTCCTCGGATTCATGCTTATCTTAAACACAACCCCTCATTTGGCGATTCTGGTTCAGCATGTATCTACAACACGTCCCAAACACAATGATCGCATGATAGGTTTCTAAAAAAGGAAACTTATGTACTTTGAAGCAAGCATGCACGGTTTAAAGTTTAAAGCAGCGTGGGGTTTGGGGGGTCGCACCCCCCCCCATTTGCAAACACAATGCTCGTGTGATGGGTTTCACCATAGGCTTCAATCCAACCTCGCACGGTTTAAAAAGCGGGGGCTGGGGGGTGGCGCAGCCCTCCCATCCAGGAGCAGAAGCTGAAGAATTGCAGTACCATCCTGAGACGCTAAACTCGCTGGTGTCGACCCAATGGGTTTCCTCCAAGATCAAAACATCGCAGTGATGAGATGCATCCGAGGCTGGCCACGTCTTTATTTCACCCCATTGTTGCTGGCCCAAGTGGCCGGCATTCCACGAAAGAACACGAATTCGACGTTCTAATTTCCCTGCTCTGCGAGAGGCTGTGCCATGTGAAAGGAGCCGTCAGGCTGTGCCTGTAGCTCGCGTCTAGTGGGAGGAGGACGAACTCCTAGTTTTTTGACCAAGCTTGGCGTAAGAACCTGCCCCCCGTAGGGGACAGGCTCGTCCCGACGTATTGTGCGTCTACATGCTGTCTTGGACGAATTCTTGCGAAGAGATGCAAAGTTTTGTGAGTTCACTGGCAGTTGTGCCATCCGCTACTTTCATCAAAAGACCGAAGCCTGATGACTCCCTCCACTGCGCGGAAGTGGAAACCCTACCGCCTACCCAGCGATACAATGTTTTAAGCAGAGTCTGGGCCCAGGAATTGGGACCTGGCGGATCAAAACGGCACCTGTAGCAAAACGGAGAGGCACATGGCTCAGGAGAGGCACAATCCTTTACTGTTCAGAAAAGGAGCCAGGTAGGGACCTCTAGCACAGAAGTTGCGCCCAGAGCCCGTTCGAAGCCTCTCAACTGCGCGGCCGTTTGATCACTCGTGGCGGCTACTACTACTACTACTACAACTACTACTGCTACTACTACTGCTACTACTACGACTACTACGACTACTACGACTACTACTACTACTACTACTACTACTACTACTACTACTACTACTACTACTACTACTACTACTACTAGTTTTTCTGTCGCTCTGCAGAAAGGCCGGAGCTCTCTGTGCTGTGTGCCGAGTGGCAGCTCCTTGTAGATGGGTTCGACATTGGCCTGGGTCTTTTTGTCCTGCAGGTCCTGTCCTGCAGGTCCTGGCTGTACTTTTTGGCTTTCTTGTTCAGGTCCTCCAAAGCAGCCTGGGCGTTCTGTAAGAGCCTTGTGGCCTTCTCCCACTGCCTGGTCGTCAGAGGCTGATCCTTCGCCGCCCCTGCAGCAGAATTGTCGCTTCCATTCACATCGCCGTCCACAATGGCCAGGGGTTTGTTGACGGCATCCCTGCTGCCCGAGGCAGCTGCTGCGCCGAAATTCTCCAGGTCCTCGTCCCCTGCTTGGGCCAACCGGAAGTCCACGTTGTCCAGCGCATCACTCGCAGTATGGGCGCTGCCAGCATCCACATCGCTTGTTCCATGGAGGGTAAAGTTGGAACTAACTTTCTCCTTCTTACGCCAAGAGAGTTGGGTCCAGCTACGGCAGAGCTGCTTCGTATCGGGGTCCTTCACCACGTCCACCTCTCCTTGCTGCATCATCGTTTTCACTTCATTTTCCGACGGCGAAAAGCTCTTCAGAAAAAGCTTCATTGGCAAGGCTTTCTGCTCTTTCCCATACGTCTCTTCGCAAGCCAAGCCTCTCGACAGCTTGGACTGTGTCTGCTCGGCGTTCAACAGCAGCTGCCCAGAGGATCTTTGCATGAAATTATTTATAAATTTCATGTTGTCCTGTCTGTTGGACAGAAGGCTTCAGGACTTGGTCCGGCGACTGCCTCGCAGACAGCTTCACTCGCAGAGCGCGTGGTGCCGAATCCTTTGCCCCATCCCTTGCAGAATCGTCTGTCTGCTTCGGCTCCTCTTCCAGGTCAGCAACGCAGCAAGGCCAGTCTTGAAAGAATGTGGTTTTGCCTTGCCCTTTGCTTTGGCTTTGGTCTTGGCCTTGGCCTTCGGAGTCGGGGAGGTGTCCTCACCCGCATCTGGCGTGGCCCCTGCTTTGGCCTTGGTCTTGGTCTTGGCCTTGGTCTTGGCCTTGGTCTTGGCCTTGGCCTTGGCTTTCGTTTTCGGGGTTGCCTTGCTCTTCGGCTTTGGCCTCTTCTTCTTCCTCCTCTTCTTCTTCCTCCTCCTCCATCTCATCGTCCTCCTCTTCCTCCAGCTCCTTAACCTTCGGCTCACATGCGACCCTGGCCTTCTTGCCTGCGGGCAGTGTCTTCGCCTTGGCTTTCGCAGCCAACTTCTTCGGGGCCTGAGCAAAGGAAAAGATCGTGCCGACACCTGGAGATGAAAACTTGCATGCACACCCGAGACACGCGCGGCTTACCAGATTTCGGGCTCACAAAAACACTGCGAGCGTGGCTCACGCGGGCAGACCATGTTCGCGGCTCTGTGAAAGGATGCAAAGACAGAGATACGGGGTGGAGACAGGTGCATGCCGACTTTTTCTTGCAGAACAAGGCACGGCTGCGGTCCCCTATATGTACAAGTATATGTAGAACAGCTGTGCTGACCTATGTGCAAAGAAGGGCTCAGGGAACATCTTTTTTGGGTCAGCGATGGTTCTTTTCTAGGGGAGGTGTCCTCAACCTGTGTTCCCTCAAAAAGCCAGCACAAGGGAAGGTGTCCTCGCCCCTGTAAACACACATGAAAGCCTCATCCAGGAGGTGGGGCTTTGCCTTTGGCAGGAACAGACCTGTGCTGAACAGGTTCCGCAACGATTGAGATGCTACCACCCTTGCGTGCCCATCGGAGCCGGAATGGACAGATGCACGGAGCCGTCTCCGGCCCCTGCGGCTTGAACAGGACCAGGGATACCCCACGGGCTGCCAGCAGCGACAGTGGCGCGGTGTGGTGGACTTCGGCGGGCGCAAACTCCGAGTCGCACCGTGTGGCACTCGTCGCCGGAGCGGGCGGAGGCGGACCTGCCGCTGATGTTCTCGCCGGAGATGGCGGAGGCGGGCCTGCCGGTGAGGTTCTCCACGGACACGGACCTGGTTCAGAAGCCGGCCACCAGATGTTGGCCTGCGTGGACGGAGTAGGGCCATTGACCGGAGTAGGCGGAGGAGGCCCCTTCGGCTTCCCGTATGCCTTTGCCGTTGCTTTCGCTTTACCCTTAGCCTTGGGATCCACCACCAACGATTCCCTGACGGCGGCCTCGTCCGAGCTCGTCGAAGAGTCAGAGTCGGGACATGTTCGGCTCGGCCGCTTCTTGCGCTTCGCCATGCCGGAGGACAGAGGGAGGGAGAGCCGCAAAATACAAAACGTCTGTTCGATCCACAAGATACTTATCTATAGCAAACAGACACGATTGTGCGAGACACGGACACAGAGAGAAAATGTAAGCGCTCCCGGACGCAGCGAGGCCTCAGATTTTTCTTGCACGAAAGCATTTTCCCGGTCCCTGCACAAGTCTCACTACATATTCTGCAAAGGGGAGGTGTCCTCAACCCTTTGTCGGCGAGATCCTATTCACGGCAACAGCGCCTCAGGCTGAAGCATCGGCCAGGGTTTGTAAAGTGTACTACTGTCTTCTTCCGATATCCGGATGAACTTGGAAGGGCAGGACATTCTTCTTCTATTCCTGAGCGTGCACTAGCCCATCTAGCCCACCACCATCCCCTGCAACCTCCGGGTTGGTACTAGCTAGAGTAGTCGTACTTGCCGAGCAACGACAGCGAGCCAACAAACAGTAGCGCACGACGACTCTCCTTTTTCATGGATGTGGCGCAGTTAGCCTGGAGAATGTCGCTAGCCTTTGGCTAGCCCTCCCCAGGGTGGGTTGGGTGGGTACTTCAAAATTACCCCCCCAATACGGGACTTTATCCAGAATGGCCACGGAAATGTACAAGGTCCCTCGCCATTCCAAGTCGTGCTATCCGTGTCTTGCAGACTGACACACACAGCAAGAACAATAGATAGCAATAGAAACTTCGTTTCTAGCCGAAACACCTACGATGGTTTCGGTGGGAAGATTATCGGGCTAGCACACATAGTCGTAACTCGTCCCTCGTCACGAGGTACGTGCACTAGCCCATCTAGCCCACCACCATCCCCTACAACCTCCGGGTTGGTACTAGCTAGAGTAGTCGTACTTGTCGAGCAACGACAGCGAGCTAACAAACAGTAGCGCGCGACGACTCTCCTTTTTCATGGATGTGGCGTAAATCCCAGTTAGCCTGGAGATTGTCGCTCGCCTTTGGCTGGCCCTCCCCAAGCGAAGCCACTCAGGCTACCAGGGATCTAGCCTTCGGACCTTTCGGCCAAAACGTGACACCCTCGCCGGTGTCTCTCGCTTTCGCACTCCTAGCTCCCGGTAGAAGCTATCGGAGTGCGCGAGTAGCCGGTCCAGCATCCTCCAACGGAGTTCATCCCCTTTGAGGACTATCCTCAAGCCGGGATCAAAAGCCCCGAACTCCTCGTTGGTGAGGTCGTCCGCTAGCTGGTTGAGATCTCTCCGTATCCACTGTAGCTGTAGCTCACAGTTCCTGTGGGATAGCTCTTCGGCCGTCTC